AATTTAACAGTTCTGGTTCTATTTTGAAACAATTGGACTTCTCTTATTACAAACTTTTACTTAAAATCTTTACGAATTACCAAAATTATTTAATGTAAAAAAAATTTTCGAATTACTTTTAAATAAATTGTGGATCTTCAAGTGCCTTTTTCCATGAGAAATCCTAATTTAAATTTCATATATTGTCTGTATCTAGCTTTTCTATTTTTCTTATTATTGTAAAGTAATTATACATTCTTGAAAATTGGCAGCAATATATTGGCATGTTAATATTGCTTTGTAATATATTTATAATTACCTCTTTATTATTGCAAATTATCTACAGATATTTTTCTTTTCGTGTAACCGATCCCAGTGTCCTTTCATCACATTTAAATTAAGTATTACTGTCTATTACTTTTATTAAAATATTACTAATATATTAAATGAATACAAATTTTGAATTGTTCAGAAATATACCAACTGGTTGTTTAAGTTCTATAATGTAAATATCGATCGATCAAATTGAAGATCTATTAATAAATACTGATTAACCTTAAATTAAATATGAGCCGTTTGTTGTAACTATTTATATAGCAGTTTTTTGAAATTCATGCATGGATGAAAACAATGTCATACTTCAACTTTTATACAGCTTTTTTATATCTGTGTAATCAATTAAATGGCATTAGCAATGATACCTATTCAATAATACAATTTTTTCATACATATGAAATCAATACATTTAACCATATGTTATGCTAATTATTAATACTTTCCGGTAAACAAACTACATAAATAAATTCTCAACATATTGTCTGTCTCACTTCTCTTCTCTTATTTTATATATTAAATTTGTTTTCAATGGCTGAAACGGCTAAAATTAACAATAAAAAAATGTTTTAATATCAATGAAACTCGTCTTTCTTGAAATTAATTAAGAAAGACACATCTGTTGAAGCAGTCTAAAGACACCAAAGTATATTACATTCACAACCATTATTGCTATAAACAATTGCTGGTTAACAATTGTTTGAAAGCAAAGTTTAAAAATTAGCTATTAAATATAGAAGTGAGGCCCCAGCTAATAAATAATGTTAGCCAAGGTCTTCTTGGACTAGTGTGTCAAGGAAAATATGAATAAAGTTTTTACTATTCTGATATTGAAAGTGTTAGGCAATTTCTTATTGTAAAGAAACCTTGATATCAAAATTAGGAATGTAATTATCATTGTGATATTAGGAAAAAAAACTATTATTCATATTCTAAAATTGATAAGCAGTCAATTAAGACAACAAGAAATTTTAATCAAATGATATACTGCTTGCTTTAAGTTACTACTCTCGTTATTCAAATATCATCAAAAATATACAGGGTTTTACAAAGGATACTTTCCACTTTGCTACACTTCTTCTGTATGAGCTAAAAATCATGATATCTCGTAAGGCAACCTTTTAACAACAGTTAGATATTTGTTGAAAGTAGGCAAACTATTTAACTTTAAATTTAATATTTTAATTTAATTATATTATAATTTAAATTATGGTAATGTAATTTAATATTTTTACAGAACATTAAGAATGAGCACTTTTATTTGCTTGCAATTTAAAATATTCTTGTATCTAAACTAAATTTCAAAGATCATCAAAAGTATATGATTAGACATTAGTAAATTTTTGAAACTGTTTCCAACTTATTCTGACTCTACCTTTATAAAAAGAAAAGAAAAAATAAACAAAAGTGATTGAAAATGTTTTGTATAAAAATGTATAAAAATATATATATATATATATATGTACGTGTATGTATATATATGTATTTTTATACAGTAAAAATATAGATTAACATAATCATTAGACAGATGATTTTTCATACGATCAAAATTTTAAGGTTAAATAATTGAAATTTGTTATGAATATTCAAAATGTTTCATCTTACATTACATTGATAAATAAAAATCTGCGATAGAGAAATGTTACAATAGCTATACACTTCAAAAATGGAACTTCGCATTCGCGGATACCTCCAATATTTTTGTACGCTTATTATTTAAAATAGTTAATTATAAATAAATGCCATATGTGTAGATCCCAAATTCAGTATTAGAGCTTTCATTTAACATTGTACATTCACGGAAATGATAAATACATTAAGATTATCAGACAACCAGTTAGTAGACATTGAATACGGAAAAATGTAATATTAGTATAATATAATGAACGATCCAGTACTGCTTTTTTTTCAGGGATACATTAAAGGTATCAAAATAAAGGCTATAAATTACTGATTGCACAAGCCATTTTGTAATCATATTTAAAAAAAAAATCTTTACGCAACATGCTACATTCACTTATTTTTACTACAAAGGTATATTTTTAAACAAAAACTAGCAATTCATTAAAATTATACCTTCTTCCTGAAATAGGAACCTTCTTACGATTGACTTTTTCAATGTTAGAAGATTCTTGACAAGTCTGTTCGACAAACCGTTGAAGAAATCTAAACACATTTTTGTATTCCCCGCGATATAGAAAATACAGTTTCATTCTGTTTACTCTTACAAAACTTTTATTATTTTTATAGCAAAATTGTGGACACAGGTGCAGGGTACGCAGCTGGTGCGGGTAAAGTGATCGGTAAACTCGGAAAGATAGGGGTGACATCACTTCGCATCATGGAAAATCTAAGATCAGTTGTCCATAGCATATCTCCGAGTCCATTCTTTGGCATTGCGTATTGCTTCGCTTTCATTTACTTTCCAGAGTTCAGCGACGTCATTTGCCAAAGGGTCATCTGGATTTGGTGCACTTAAAAGTGCTTGTATTGATAATAAAACTGTTCTGATTTGAAGAGCAGGACTCCATTTATCTTTAAGAATATCCAAACAAATCCTGCCCAATCTATACAACAAATATAAATATTTCTTGTACATCGAATTTTATTTATGCATTACATAAATTAACACACTTAAAAAGCTAATATAATTAAACAAAATTATCAAAATAATTGTCAGAAATTATGTGTCTATAATTACCTGTCTATATTTGGATGATAAATTTTTGTAATGAATCTAACTTTAGGAGCAGACATTGGATAGTCTTCTGGTAGGAACAACTCAAGTTTAAAAAGTCCACCTTCAAATGGCGAATCTTCAGGTCCAGTTACAATTACATGAAAATACCTAGCATTTGTATCATCTGGCACAGCACTGATACCAGGAACTGGCTCTTGCATTAGTCTTTGTGTTTCTTTGATAATCCTTCTTGGTAGCGCAGCCATATTTGATGAAACTCCTCTAGAAGAAAATATCTATACATCTTTTAACTTGCTTTCTAAATAATAAATCCAATTTATTACTTAAAATAATTTTGCTATAAACATGTACTTAGAAAACTATAAAAGATTAATGCTATATGTTTATTACATACAAATATAAATTATATTACACAGGTGCATTAATGAATGAATAATATAAACTAATAGTACTACCTTTAATATTCTTTACTTAGTAAAATACATACACTATTTCAATACTTTCACAATAATTTACAGAGGCGTGAATAGTATGAATAAGATATAACGTGTTATAATAATGACTATAAAGGCTATACAAAATTACATCATAAATATAAAAATATAAAAGAAAATAAATAGGTTAACATTTTTAGTAAAACTTATTGCAAACTGTAACAGATATATCATAAACATACAGGTACATTATAATAGAACTTATAAATGACTAACATAAGAAAATTTAGGTTATCAAAGAATGTTTCCTTTTATTTCTATAAATATAATATACATTACAAATAAAAATTAAATCTTAAACATCCAAATCATAAAAATCTTTCATAATTGTAATAATTAATACGGGTTTACCACTAATTGACAGCTTCTCACGGTACGTATAATTCTGCCGAAACGAGTAATCCTTAAGCCTTAAACTATCATATACAACTAAACAAACGATGCAATACAAATATTTGTTGTATATGTTATTAACAAGGAAATCAAATAAATCGTTCAGAAAGTGGATAATGGTATAACAATTGAATTTTTGCTGAAATATTTCTGCCAACCTCCAAAGCTGTTGCAAGGCTACTGTGTATGCGTAAACAAAGAATTCGTGCACAGAGTCACGTACCATGTACAACTAAGCTGCACAGAGTGTCTCACACGTGCAAGAATGTCTGAAATATGAATACTCTATGTATAACAGTAAAATACGTACGATTATCTGAAAATATCCCCGCGTCACCCCGCAAACTGTGGCAGATTGTCCGCCTCTCTGGAAGCCTTTTCTTCTAGAAACCTCGAGATCGATTTTTAATCCTATTTTCGCAGCACTATCGTATTTCGTGATAATCGGCTTCGCGGCCGACTTCAAAAATCTGTCTGGGATCTATGGTGCAACCCCAAAAAGATACTTCAACAAAGTGTTAATTAAATTTCCACACGTAAATGTGTGTTACAGTTACAGCCCTCACAACCGCTTCTTGCGATTCATCTTATCACGCGTTGATGGCGCTGCACATCAATTTACTGCGTAAACCAATTTAACAATGACTCCAAATAACACTCCTTCTCGTCATACGAACAATATCCTAACTTTTAAATTTAATTAATTCATATATGTCTATGAATGAAAACGTTTTTATGTAAAGGCTCGGTCAATTTTACTCTAGTTTCGTACCTACGTCTTTCAGATAACCAATGAGCTTTCAGAATATTTTAAAAATGAAAGTTATTATTATTTTTTATAATTTTTGTTGTTGTTCATAAAATGTCAGTTAATAAATTCTATTTGTTGAATATATTTCAGGTTTTATTATATATATATTCAGTATGTTATTAGTTCATCCAACGAGTAAGCACATCTTTTGAAATATCCTAGATAAAATTTGTATGCTTTTCTTAATATGTATATTACATAATAAAAATACATGTAAGACAAATTTGCATATATGTATGCATATATATATCGTTAAGAACGTGATCTGAAAATTGTTAAAAGATCAGATTCAGAAACATGAATATGTGTAACTTGTACACTTATTAGATTAAGTCATTAAAAAATATAGTTAATAAAGTATAAAATAATGCAAAATTTATGCAAAATTTATGCAATATTACTATAATATAATACTGTACATAATAAATACAATTAATGACTATTTTAATTGGTATCTGTACCTATAACCTGGTACCACGGTTGCAGTTTTTAATGCAGCAAGATCAGTGCAACCAACAAACTGCCGCGAAACTTAGGAGATATTTGTCATGAAATGTCTTATATTACTATTGAAATGTCAGTTCGAAGTTCTCGTTATTTGAAAACAATTTGTAGTCAATCGTTCTTTGATATTTTGTAATTGTAATTACAATAAAAGTAAGTCGTGAATTAAAAACATAAACGTTACTATAATTTGCAATTTATGTTGTGAAACATAAATAGATTGTGTCAACACATGAATACATTTATTAATTATTGTCTTATATATTATTAGTAGTGATGATGTCGTTGATATATGATTGTTTACTTGTTTATACAAATAATCGTTGTTTGTTACTTTGTAAGGCTTAAGATATGAGTGACAGTAATATAACATAACCTTAAACTTGCAATAAAACATAAAATTGTTAATGTACTACAAAACAATTAAAATGTCACTATTATATGTATGTAGAATGTGTTTTCTTGAAGTTATTATTATTTCAATTTCTTGTCTTTTATTTAAAATGAAAGATATATGTTTGTAACATTGCTAATAAAGACAATGAATCATTAGAATTTGATTTTTAGCATTTTTTCAATGTGTTGCTTTTTTATTACTGCTTTTTTATTGTTGCTTCTATCATTATTTTGATGCTTTAAATTTGGTTTAAATGTATCTCTATAATTCAATGGACAATATTTGATTATGATTTCTTTATAGAACTTTATTAAAAATGGCTGATGTAAGGTTACTTATACAAGAGGAAGGTCGGGCAGCTAGAAATTTAATAGCTTTTAATGTACCAGTTGGAACAAATAATACTGAAAAGGTTACCAAAAAACCACCTAGTGTTCCAAGAGTATCACAGACAAATGCTACTAAAAGATCTATGAAACCAACACCTAGAGTGAGATCAGCTTCTACTGGTCGGGATAAAAAATCTGGTGAATTGAAATTTATCTACGTTAAAATTATAAACTTATTTTCAATATAAAGCAAAGTTTCCATATAAGTTTTGCATTTGCATTCATTGTTACAATTACTTTTGAATCTTTTATATTCATAAATTTTGATGTACTAACTTAATATTCTTTTGTTTTGTTATATTAGAATTACAGGCAAGATACTGGGCATTCTTATTTGGTAATTTGCAAAGAGCAGTAGATGGCATTTATCAAACATGCGAAGAAGATGAAAATATTTCTGAGTGTAAAGAAGTGATATTAGTTTTAGAAAATTATACCAGAGATTTCCATAATTTGATTGAATGGTTTAGAGTTAAATGGGCCTATGAAAATTCGCCACCACCCTTAAGACGTACTCCTTTAGCTTGGGAAGTTAGAAAAACTTCTCCTTGTCGAATATGGAATTCCACAATGATTCCGAAATCCACTAGTCCCTTACAAAGAATGAGTCCCACAGAATCTGTTTGTAGAAGCCCTGTGGATCAAATTATTTCAGAAAATAAATCTGTTTCTGTAGACAATACAGCAAATCATATAAAAGGAGAATCTGTGCACAAGTTAATAAAGGATAATAAAGGTAATATTCCCAAAAATAATATGACAAACTTAGGTGAAAAATATAAAAATTCAATAGATAAAGGCATAAATCAATCATTGAATAAAGATAAATTAACTACAATAAAAGTAAATAAAACTTTGGTAAAACATACTGTAGCTACTAAAATTAATAACAGCATTACTACAGATCAAAAAGCAAATGAAAGTTTATCTCGTGAAGTGAAAGGTAAATTGGATACTAAAAGTGCATCAAAATCAGTTAAAGCTGGGATGCATTATGCTACCACTAAAATAACAGATTCTAATGTGATAATTGAAAAAAATGAACAAACAGTTTGTAATGATAAAGATGTACAATTAACTTCTACATCGACAGAAAAAGAATTTTCTAAATCTAATAGCATAGATAATAAATTGAATTCTCAAAACAATTTTCAAGTGAAGCCGTTGGGTCCTAAAAATGATATAGGGCTCGGAAAAAATGAAATCAATTCTAAAGTAAAAAGACAAACTACAGAAAAAAATATTAAAAATGTTGGTATAGAAAATGTTGCAACTGAAAATAAAATGACAGAATCCAATAGCATAACAAAAGAAAATAGTAACACTATGGTGAATAAAAACATACAGAATATTACAAAGGTTTCAAACAAAATTAACCAAAAATTAAAAAAGCAATCAAGTGTTAATGATAGTGCAAACAATAAAACTCCAACAAAGCTTATATCCGATACATCAACCAGTAATTCAAGTAAGGGATTAGTTAATACAAACAAACCAGCATATTCTACGGTATCGCAAATGAAGGTTATTAAACCAAAACAACCATGCCTCCTAGAAACTCCAAAATTTGTTAGAAGCAAAACAACATTAAGCGACAAAAGTACATCGATTTCAAATAAAACAAGACCTGGAACATCCGTGATAGTTAGGCAACGATTTCAATCAATCGACAATAAGGTATCATTGCTTCTTTTTACCTAATCGGTAATTGTTTGGGATATACATTTATAATCATAAGTTTTTCTTTAGATTTCAGAACAAAGTTTATTAAAAAAAGATCAGAATAGAGATATAAATGGTTCTGTAGAGGTATTAACAAAACAGACGCATGTAAAAACAAAAGAAGAAGCTGATGGTTGGCAAACGGTCCGTAGCCGTTATAGAAGAGGCAGTACATATAACTTAAATATGTCTACAAGATTTCATAAGCCAAGTACTGCAACATCGTTACCAGCGTTATCGATTGAAAGTCCTTCTGAAAAGAATAAAAAGAATTGTTTAACTCCAGATGGAAATGGTAAACAGAAACGGAAATGTATTGTAGAAAAAGAAGGAAAAAATATAAGTAACGAGGTAGAAAAAGTTAAAGGGGAATCGGTCGTAAACCTTACAATTAAAGATAAAGTAGAAGAAGTTTTCAAGAACACTGCTAATTTAAACGAAATAAATTCTACATCAATGATCGCAGCTATTTTCAAAAATGATGCGGAATTACTTGAAAAACGTATACAACAATTTATGGCTGCTCAAGCAGAAAGAGAGAGAATAATTTTAGAAGAGGAAAGGAAGACAGAGGAAGCAGATTCGCAACGATCGCAACAGTTATCAGATGAAGAAGCATCCTTACATAGACAAATTTTAGAATTAGAATGTGGTGAAACTGATGTTGACACTGAAACTGATGAAACAGACGGTGAAATGGTCCTTGAAATGGAAGATGAGCAAAGAACATCTCCTAATACAATGCCTGATGATGTTAGTTTAGAAGATAGGTATGTACTAATTTTCTTATATTATCTTTTCTTTAGTATATTAAGTTTAAAATCATTCTTTACAGATACGAAAATGTGTTAGAGGAAATGTCTTGGGCAGAGTGTGTAGATACGCTTGCTCAGTTACGCGCATTAGTCGCTCGTCATCCTGGTAGAGCTTTAGAATTACATCAGAAATTATCGTCCCCATCTCGAAAGAGATCGTTGCCTGAGACGTTACGACGGTACCAAGCAAAACAGGCTTGTGCACAACATAAACGTCAAAAACTTTTAATGGAAAAGTCGCAAAGATTGCGAGAATTGTTGAATAAAGTGAAAGATGTCAAAAGTGCAAAGAACCAATTAATAGAAGACAAAAGAATTAGAATGGAAACAAAGTTAAAAAAGGCGGAAGAAAATAGAACGCAACATTTGTTAGAAATAGTAAGAAAAGCTCACGATGAAGATTCTAAGTTAAAAGAAATTGCATTTATTAATGAACTTGAAGCACAAAACAAGAGGCACGATTTCATGGCGCTATGTCAAGAACAAGAAGAAAGATTGCAAGTACGTTGTGTATATCTATATCTTCAATAAGACAGATTATAAATTCTTGTATTATTTGTAACAATTATTTTTTAGGGAATTCAAGAAGAACGCCAACGCCGACAGGAAGAAAAAGCTGCTAAGGAGGCTGCTGCCGAAGAACGTAGACGTGCTTTGGAAGCGGAACGGCAGTTGCGTATTCAGAAAATGAAACAAGCTCGTCGTGAACGCGAAGAAAGGGTCGGTAAGATGCAGTTAGAGAGAGAAAAAGAACGTCAGGTAATTATATTTCACGAATAATTATCTAAAATTGAAAAAACATTGATATTAAATTAGCAAAATTTTAAGGAACTTGCAAGAGAAAAAGCAAGGGATAGAGAAGAACGTTTATCTGCGCTTCATGCAGCGCAGTTAGCAAATCAAGAAGAACTACAGAAGAAAATAGCTCAAAAACAGCAAGAATCAGCTAGAAGGCACGTTGAAAATATAGAACACATTCGACAAAGAGCAGTTGAATCTTCTATTTTAAGGTCGGAAGAAGTTCCACCTACGTTAAAATCATATCCTGCTCAAAAACAATGTTCTTTATGTGGAACTCTAGTGAGTATCGGTTTGTTAAATTTTATTTATATTTGTTGTTTTAATTATCAACTTATGTAATATTTAAATTTATTGTATATTACGTAGATACCCAATGAGGTATACCTGTTGAGCCATTTAAAAGGGAAAACACACGTCGAAGCAGTACGGAACACACACGATGGTCGAGAGCCATCACGAGATGAATTGCAGCGCTTCAATATATCTCAAATTCGCGATGTCCCAATTTCAGTCGTTGATAATAATAGTTCGAACGAGATTAAAGCTGCGAAAGAGAAACAGAAAGCTTTAAAACGACGATGCAGAAAAATGAAACAGCGTATGTTTCTGCGAGGTAAAGAATGGGAAGACAATCATAAAACAGATGCGAATCAATCTATCGAGTCGACTAATAAAGCAAAGTTCCGACGAAATTTAAAAGAATTGGATCGATTGTACAACAATCATTCAAAGACAGCTTGGTCAAGCGTCGCCATCGCTTCTTTAGAACGTTCATTGGGTGAAATAACAAGAGCTTATTCAAAATTGGTAAGATATAATAATCTAAATAAAATAGTAATATAAGAAGAATAATATAAGACGAATAAACCTTACATTTTAAATATTTTAGTGTTCGTTCGATCAGATTGTATTTCGAGTTTTAAATGGATTCGATATTTTAACTAATTTATTGAATTTGGGACTGCAAACACAAACTGCATCTCATAATTTACCAAACAAGTAAGTGTAAGTTGCTCTTTATGTTATCCGAGACAGATAAAGAATTACGTTTTATACTACACTCTCATACCGTGTAATTTAAACGTACAATTTTGGAAAGATCTTTCTGATCTAAAAACTACCTCTACTATTACTGGATTATATATGGATATGCATACTATTTTATATCTTAAATGCAAATTTTCGTATGTTCTAGAAGCATTCTTTCGGTATGCCGTGTATTTAAATTAAGCGTCAGTGAGAATGACACCAACATCGAAGCGGTTTTGTCAAGTAACAAAATTCTGGTCATCTTGGATCTTCTGCTTCAGCATTTAGAGGTACGTCGAACACTACACGTTTTGTAACTATTGATATTTGTTCAACATTTTTAATATACACGCATTTATTTATTTTCTAACGATACTTCTCAAATTTTAATGCACCGTAACCGTGTATAAGTTCGAAATTTCTAGCTAGTTCATAAGAAAAGTATGCTAAGGTGTGTCGGCATCTTTTCCCGCGTGGTTATAGCTTTCTTATTTTATACTGGCACGTTGAATCATTTTTGTCTCGGTAGTATCATTAGTTATAGGGCACCTTGTAGATTGTAGAATGAATAATGTTGCGTGATCAGCGTGAAATAAATTGGGAGTCCACGCGACAGCGATACGCGAATGAATTTTCTTTCGCTGTGCTTGTTTTTCGGACTCATTTTGAGGTTGGTGGCTTCGAAATAAACGAAGGCAAAGACCATCACGCCTGTCCTGTCCGACTTGTCAAAATAAGGATTAAGAGAGTCTTAGAGTCTGGTTCGGCTTGCGTCCTCCGTTTTGGAGTTCAGAGTATTTAACTCTCTTATTCTGATCGTTTCTGTGTTGAACGCAAGTCGATAAGCTGGATATCAAAATCTACCGAACAATTTCGGTCGTGAATATCAAAATTTGTGTAGGGAGCAAGAACTTTGATACGATACTTAAGAACATTTGCATTTCTATGTCTTACGCCGAGTTTAAAAGTAGATTAACAGAGAGGTTATTCTGTTTTAATCAATTATTAATAATAAAGCTGTTTACTTTTGATTATTAATTGGCCAACGAGTATAGTTTGTGCGACCGAAGTTCATGATACGTACGAATGTAATCTGCTTTATTTATCTCAACGTAAGAATCATTATAAGTGTAAGAGTCAGGATTCTAAAACTTTTGATGCTTATCGATTCTCTTAGTCTATAGAGAAAATGCTACAGTGATATAACTCAAATGGATAAGTGAAGCGTAAAAGGGGAGACCGAGGTTGAAGGTAGAGAACCAAGGTTGAATCGCACGTTTCCACCGTACCGGCGTATCGCCGAATCTTACATTTTCATATAATTTTGATTTTTCAGAAGAAATATCTTATCGGACGAAAAATATTTCATTCTCCGTTCCATCGATTCCATTCTGAATATTTCGTTCTTTACAAACGTTCATTTTTCCTCTACTCTTTTTCTTCTTTCTTTTTTTTCACAAAATGTTGTCTTATCAATTCTAGTCTCGCTCTTTTCTCTTACCTCCTGAACGAGATCGGTTCCTATCGAATAATTTCGGAGACAGCTATTGGTAATCGTCCCCAACTAGGTTGCCGACTGGGAGACCGGTGACTGGCCGTACGTTCGAAGTTAATCGTTTCGCTCAATGATCCGTCGTAATCGGTTCGCGAATTCACCGTCGTGATTTCAGGATCGATTTTTCACGCTTCATAGTACGGCACTGGCGCGGCGCCTTCCTTCTCCTGTTCCTCCCCCGGGAATCCCCCTCCGCAAATGCATTAGCGGTGAGAGAGCTTTTAGTGACGTCACCCACGCACATACATACATACGCTCAC